CCATGTTAARCAGTTAATAAGACAAATTTAAATATGCATAAATGTTTATGAATAGGCATTAAGCTGAATGTTATACAGAATGTATTTAAAGAGGTTTCTATCCATAGCCAGTGTGCCTCTGGCAGATCACCAAGCACCCGACATCGTATCCTTTTACTTTTATGTACCCTACTGTGATTTATGAAAACCTTTAAATTTTAACAAGAAAGTGAATTTCGTTTTTCATAGGAGAAAGGGGAAATGTATAGTTATCTTATATTTAATCTTTAATATTGTGATTATTAAGGTGTCATTTTACAAAGTCTAAAAGCTATCATGTTTTAAAATCATTGTTAGTATCCCAACCCTAAAGGAGTTCCAAAGATGAGCTTGAGAACTCTATTGTGCATCAAAAGTCCTGGCTCACAGTTGGAAGTTAGGATTTTTCCTTTTTTTTCCCCTTTCTCTAAGAGAATTTTGTCCCATATGTTGCTAAGAGACGATAACGACTGGTACTTAGGAGAGACAAAGAAGTAGCTACGGTGGGGGGAAGGGTGCAGGTGCACTCTTGTAGCTGAGGGACTTTCTCCTGGAGGGACAGAGATACCTCGAGATTTTGGCAGGAGTGTGAGGGGTTGGGGCTGGGCTTGGCTCCTCTGTCKCTGTCTATCTCTGTCTGTCTGTCTTTGTCTCTGTCTCTCTCGAGATCTAAGGGGAGACAGACTGTGGCTGCAGTGGGAAGAATTTGCCACCACTGCAGAGTCTGTCTCCTGTTGTCTTCTATCATGAGTGAGGCTCTGCCCGTTGGACTGGGACCTTATTAATACCTCGTCTCACTGGAAAGGACCCTCACCATCCTCTCTGGTGCCTCAGGGAAAAATCCCACACTGTGAGCCCCTCCCCCGCTCTGAGGAAACCGCTCCTGGCTGCTCTCTGGAGCCTGGCCACAGATGCCCAGCCCCGCTATTTGGTTCTGCTGCAGCTTTGGGGTTTTTATTACACTAAYGCAGCGACCCCTGCCTGCCTGGGCATTTAGTTTGCTATCCCGGGTGTGTCTGCCTCTGCTGTTCCAACTGCTGCTCCGACGGTTCCTGCTGCAGCCCATCTCACCATCYGGAGGGGCATCGGGACCGGCTGCCCTGTGAGGTTCTAAAGGAAACCCCTTTTCCATCCCTTTTGCCGGCTGTGCTCGCCATTACCCACGTGGAGCGGTAGCGTTGCTCGCACCACAGTGCCCCCTGCAGGCGYGGCGGCATCATCGCACCCGCCCTGCCCGGCCGGGAGCCACCAGCGCCCCTGCCGGCTGTAATCGGAACTGCACCAAAGGGGAAGGTGCTCGGCAGCTGAGACAAGGCTGTGCKTGGGTTTCTGGTTTTGTTTGTTGTTGCTGCTGTTGTTGTTTGTTTGCCCGGCTATACATGTACATACTAGTAAAGAACTGTTATTCTCTTCCCCATATTTTTGTCCAGAAACCCCTTTATTTCAAAGTTATAATAATTTGGAGGGAAAGGAGTCATATTTTCTATTTGAAAGGAGGTTTCCATCTTCCTTGGCAGATACTTATCTTTCAAACCAAGACACTCACTGAAGATTTATGTTATGCCATAATCTCCCTTTTCCCTTGATATTTCACAAGCAATGCCCCTCTTCCTCTGAAGGATAATCCCATCAGCCTCTATCTCCCCATTCCCATCAGCGCTCTCTCAGTTTGCTGAAGTCATCAACATAATATGACAATTGTGCATGGTAAAGACCCCATAACTAAGTAAAGTTGTACGCTAGGTATGTTTATTTGCTGGATATGTGACAGGTCTAAAGACTGGTACAGTTTYGGAATACTGGATACATTAAGTTTCGCAATATGCCTATACCTATTCATCACCTGTCCCCACTTCTGTTGTGGTTTTAAACCTGATTTTTCCCAGTCCCAGGTTTYGGCACCAAAAATGTCGTGGTTTGGATTGTGCTGAAAGCCAAAAAGCACTGCACCCACGACGTTCTCTCCCTTCCCCCACCGGAGAGGGAGAAGGGAGAACAAAAGCCCAATTAACAACGAAAATTTATGGCTTTCAGRTAACATAACCTAATTGAGAGAAAGATACGTATGTGCTCCTGGGAATGGTCAGACAGGCTGAATAACTTAAGTTGCAAAATAGATTTATTACTACAAACTACTAAGAATACTACCGCACCGGGGAGGGGAACAAAGATATAGGGACAAATTTACAAGGAGAAGAAAAATAAAACCGGACATTTTAAGACACCTGTTATCCTTTCCGGGACCCGTCCCTTTCCCAGGTCCTCCCTCTCCACCCCCCATGTTTTCCTGCACACACAGGGGACAGGAATGAAAGTCTAACATAGATCAAACCACTCATTACAGTTGTTGTCCAGCATCATAGGAGAAGTGTTCTTACAGCTCCAAGCTGTRGAAGTTATTTTCCCAAGAACAGTCAGTGTATAAYTGCTGGTGGCGAGGGAGTATTTTCTTTACCTCGTAGGAGAAAAGAARGAATGTCCTTCAAGGCCAAACTGCGTTGTTTCAGCGGYGTAAGACCACTATCACAAACCCCTGGCAGAGCACAGCTTCTTCTAAGCATCCACTTACTTCAGAYATAGGGYGCGGGCATCTCCTCCTCYGCGCAGAGCWCAATTTCTTCTCAGCATCAACTTGCTTCAAACGTCGTGGGGGGGCCAAGCCTMTTCCCCCTTTTTGGCTCCTGATAAGTTCAGTCCAGTCCTGAAAGGCCAGTTTTTTTTCCTCAGAGCAAGGTCGCTCTCTTTTCTATACAGGTCTCTCATTGATGAAATAGTCTKTTTGAGAACAACTTATTTTCTCCATGCTYGAGAACCACAGCAAAAGCACAGCAAGCCAATCCCATCTTCTCCTTACTGTGATCTTTGGGTCTCCATTTTTCTTCTTACATCTCYTCAYCCTYCTGCTCTGTTTTTCCCCCGTGCATGATACTAAAACTACATACTAACAACCTAAAAGCTACGTGGCGGCCGCCTATCTTGTTTTGAATTCTTTCTTAAGTACAAGACAATACRTCATCACAGAAGTGTAMCCARCCYGTGCARTTGGCCCAGGCCTGATGATCAGCCTGTCCATCACCCTCAGAGCCATGATGGATTGGCTCTAAAACACAGGGGGTAGGGCTCCTTTTGCTGGAGAAGAAGAAGAAAGTTTCTAGAACTTCCTCCTAGGAGCCATCTTTGTGGTTTCTTAGTCCCATCCCCCCACCACCAAAAATTGGACTAAGTAAAACCATGACAACTTYTTATGCTAATGAATCTGCATATGTTTACGTATGCGTCTCACCCCCTGGAGGTCATCTTCAGGTGGTTTTTTGATGAAGTCTTTCTTGGCGCTGGAACTTTTGACCTTTGGTTCTTGCATGCTTCCWGGCTTCTTGGTATCAGTCCAAACCTCTGGGTTGGTTTTTACTGATTTGAGGGTCCAGTGAATAGCACTTGGTTRCGGATGTCTTCCTTCTTACAATACTTGGCAAGTAACATGATTAATGGTGGGCAAGATAGGCACTGTAGTGAAGGCTTAGCCAAGTCAGCTTTGCTTAAACAGTTGCTGTTAACTCTTTCGTTTCCCCATATCACCACTTGGAAAGTTGGCTCCTTTTTTAGACGTGGTGAAGGACCTGTTTGCTTCCTCCTYAGTGTAGCATGTGCCACTGTTCTGCAATTTAATTATTGGCTTCYTCCAAGAGCTGCTGATCGTTCCACTCCCTGCCACTTCACCCAGAATGCAGTTCATCCAGAATGTGGTTTGCTGGCCTGTGCCTGAGAGCCAAAAGGCTACTAGATATGTTTGGAGTTTGCAATGTTGCTAATTTGGGCTTTTGGAGGGTTTTTTCCATCCCATCTGTTTTTTTCATCTGAAGTGCTCTAACCCCTAGAAACAACACGGTGTCTTTTTTTTTCCAAAGTCAGCACATTATCACAACGCAGTGTGCTGCCCTGTTTTATCATCTCACCTGATTTGTCTACATATCTGATAGAATACATGTCACCTTTGAAAACTTGAGCTGCTTTGTGTGTCCAGGTTCTAGAAGAGCAGCAAGCTATCTCATCACCCTGTTGTGAAATGTCTTGTTTATCTGTGCCGTCTTGACTTTGAGATGATTTTTCTTGAGTTACATGTGGAGTTGTAATAGCTAAATTATGTACCAGTTCTCTCTTCCTCCAGGCATGTCAGGTTATTGCTTTGCATGTGTGTAAACGTAACAAATTGCAACACTCGCACAGAAAAATGTGCTCTTAGAACCTGCTGAAGCTTCATTTTCTTATGTATCAGTCTTGTTTAAAAAATTCTACCAATAGAAGCATAAACAAGTCTTGATTATTGCTTATGTCTTAAATAAGTTTAAAATCTCCTGAATGACGTACAGAAAGAAGGGGCTTTTTGTGTCACTGCTGAAATTTAGTTATTAATTTTAGCACCTTAATTGAGACTACTTAGCTTTGAGTTAATCCTGCAACTGAAAAAGTATACCAATAAGAATGTCACATTCTGGTTACTGATACTATAGTCTTTGAGGCTGTGATTTTGTGGTGAGGTGGTGACTGTTTTGGGTTTAGACCGTCATAATTATAGGGAAGATTGTTCTAATACGTGTGTCATAATTATGATTTGCCATTTGTTTGTTAATGTCAGTTTTTGTTGCTGTGTTTTCTCTAGACTGCTGGAGTTGCAAACATGCTTAAAAAGAAATCAATATAAATTCAGCTGATCAATTAACACAGTTTTTCTAGACAGGGTTTGTGGCCTGATTTTCACTTTGGGATGTTTAGCTCCAGCTTTGGATGAAACAGCAGGAAGCATGAAAGAATAGGAGAGCAAGTACTTTCTTCTGTTAATTTAGCTATTTGTTTGGTTCTTGTGTGTAGTGGGCTATGTTCTATGGGATTTTTAATTTAATTCTTTCTTTGCTTCCATAAGAGAGGTTTTAATTTTCTTGTACTGTTGTATATATCTGAAAAGGTTTTTTTCTTTTGTTTTACAGGAGGAAAATGGCTCAAATTACTGCACCAGCATCAGCCATCCATGATGAGGAATCCTTGGAAAGCAGAATGGTGGTTAAATTCCTCCTGTCAGCGCTTGAGTCAATGGTTAGTAGAGAGGTTAAGCTTCTACATCGTAAATCTGTCTTGGTATTTACAGGATTACACCAGTATATTGCTTCCCACTGGGCACCAGGGAAGGTGGATTGTTGTATTTTTACCTTATTGTGTGCTGTCCAATAGACTGTARCTCTACCTTTGCTTGTGGTAAACTGTGCTAACAGGAATCTTGTTTCTTGTTGTAGTGTGGTTGTTTTAAAAATCATTTTATCAAATAAACAGATAGGAAATATTTGTTGACCGCTTAGGTACAGTGTGGCTGAAAGGCAAGTATGTGTTCTGGTCTTCATCATATGTAATGCAGAATGAATAAGTGGTTTTGATGCTAATACCTTGTCCTCAGCTGCTCTACTAACTCAACAAAACTTGTTCAGAAAATGCTTCTTTCTGTTGGCATATTATCTGAATTATATAAGTTATTTAATTGTGTGATGGGGTTTTCTGGGACTGTGAGTGGAAATGCCTGTTCCATTTCCTTGAAGTAGAGTCACTGTCAAAGATTTGGTTCTTTAAAAGTGGGGTTTTTTAATGATAAGCAAGAACAAACRTTTTCTTTTTAGCAATGAAACTTTGAGTGGAATAGTTATAAGACAGTAGATTGCAAGTCTTTTATCCCATTAGTTATATTTGGTTCTTAAAGTTTTTGGGTCACTTTTTCCTCCCCTGCAGCTGTTGGTGTTTTTATAGGTTCTAGCAAACTGATGTAGTTCCTAGGAGAGGCTGACCTTTTGTGGTCACTGCTTCATCATCTCACCAGTTTTCTTGGGATCCTTGTTCTTTCCATAGGGTTCCTGCCTTAGTTCTTGCCAGAAATTTCTCCTGGCAGAACATATGTAGGTGTGTGCAGGGACAGTGCAATTCTTCCATTCAGGAGGAATTCACTTGAGCCTGGATTCAGCAGACAGGACACGGCAGACTACAGGCAGCCATCCTGCTTGCAACCACACTATTCTGAACAGAGCATGGTGTATGTGAGTGAACAAAACTCCTGTATGCTTTGTTGAAAGTTGGAGTAAAACACTCAGTATGATTAACATGGAAGTGCTAATTTAACATGGATTGATGTATTAAATATTTTAATTAAAAACAATGCAATCTCTGAGTCTATACAAGGCCCTAATTTTGCTAATGAATCTACAATGTTTCTAAGATTTCTGGTGAAAAACATTCTAGATGTGTAAATTGTGGGTTGCTACTGACTGATGTTGTGTTGCTCACAGTACCTGCTGAAGGGTGGATGCTGGCAGCAGTATAGTGATTGTTTTACATGTTATTACATACATTTTTATTAAATGTGTCTTAATTATGCTAATAAAATCTTTTTCTTTTTCTAGTCTAAAGAACTTGACAAGTCCAAGGCAGAAATTGCGTGTATTGGTGTATATGAAAAAAATATTTTTGTAGTTGGAACTGAGAGAGGAAAAGCCTTTGTCAACTCTAGGGAAGATATTCAGAAGGATTTTGTTAAATACTGTAAGTTTCAATGTTGTATTTTTGTATATTACAAACTGCATAATGTGTATTGCATAATACTAGTAACTTTGGCGAGCAAAATTGTCTGTCATGGCTGCATGGTATAATTAGGTTGGCTATGGCAAATCAAGCTGTTTAAGAATATAAAAATGATCCATAACAGTGGTCTTGYTTGGATTGTTATTTCTACAATGGCTGAAAATGTTCATTTTTCTTAGATAATGTGACAGACTAGTACAATAAGAAGGATTAGACTGTCCACTTTTATAATACATCCTKTATTTCCTTGTGTGTGTTAATTTTTCTTTGTATCCCTCCTCCAAACCTTTTTTTCCCACTCATGAAAACTGAGAAGAACACTGAGTAGGTAGAGGAGTACTTCTGTCAGCTCAGATGGTCCTAGTTCTTCAGATCACTTCAGGCCTTACTAAAGCAGATGCACAGTTTTGGCAAGAGAGTGTTTTTTCATGTAGATTTTTAATATCAATACTTTATTTATTAGGCAGAAATATGCATCTGTACCATAATGACTTAAAATTAYATCTCCATTACTTTTGTACTCCTTTAAGTATATCTCGGATGTGTTTTTTGTTTAATTTCATTTTTGCAGTAAAACAGTGGAGCTTCTGTGCTCATAAAACTTGTTTCATTGAGTACAGGACAGTATTTTTAGGGATAGTTTTCAAAGATTCAGTGACTATTTGAGGGAGAATTGATGTGCTCAGGCAGTGTTGGTGGTGGACACTGCCTAATTAATAGCAAAATGTACATTTATTTGCCTAGGGAAAGAGAGAAGATGCAGATCAAGGGTGCAGTATGATGGAAGAATCAGTCTGAGGAAGAGTTTAAAAACAGCGGCTGTCAAGTTGTTGTCAAGTTAAATACTGCTTGGATAGCAGCTATGTATAGTTTGTAACAGAAAGACTTGCTCCCAAAAATACTTGGCTGCTAGGTAAAATTCTTCTGCAGGCTCTGTCTCAGGATCAGTTGTTTGTGGTAGGGCTCTGGATTTTTTTGTCACTGTCCAACTAGCATGGACAGTGACTTTCTGTGCACATATTTACTCCAAKGAAAGTCACCATGATGTTGGGTTATAATAGGTTAAAAATGATACAAAAATGATATAAAAATATAAGATTGCAACCTGATTGAGGAATCAAGTAAAAGATGAATAAATTTATTTTTCTTTTTTTTTTCTCATTTTTTTTACAGGGACAATATTCTGATACTGTTTTTTGTGAAAACTGCTGTCTGAGTACTGGGGAGGGAGTTCAGTTTTTCACCTGATTTCGTTTTTTGTTTTGTTTTTATTGCYTGAAGGGCTTCCCTGATATCCTGGGTACTATGTTTTATTGCCAGTACAGTGGTATCATGGGCCCTGATATACCAGAGACTTTGTGTACTGAGCACATCTATTAGTAGGGAATCTGAAATTACGGGGGTTTGCTGTTTGATCTCYTGGTTGGATCTCTGTTTCAGACTTCGTACTGTGGGAAATACTGGCGTCTCATCCATGCTTGTGATTGGCTGTATCAGAGGGGTTTCTATAGATGCATGCCTGTGTTTAAATCCTATATCGGTTTTGATAAATCCTCACCTTTTGCTTTATTCCAGTTACAAGATACTTGTTCTTGGGCTGTATTTTTGTATTGTCAGGCTGATAAGATTTAACAATATTACCTTTGAAAACAGTATTTTCATTATGATTCTTGCAGAACATCGTGGTGTAGATCTGTGTGAACAAAGTCAACTAATGTCAGTCATTGCTTTCATAGTTTCACTAAGTGCACATCTACCATGCTTTTAGGGGAGTCTTRATGCTGGACGTAGTTTTCTCCTGTCCCGGACAAAGAAGCTGATAATTCCAGAAAACCTTACTTGAGAACAACATTTTTTAGTAATAATAGCATCCCATTTTCCTGGTGATGCTGATTCCATCGCTGCCTTTGACAGCTTTGAAATCTTGATGAAGTTTATACTGTAATATATATTTGCTATGAAATGTAGAGCTGTGAAAGCAAGAGTTCCTTTCCCTGTGTACGTTGTTTCTTCAGTTCAGTATGAAAGTGAGCAATAAGCAGGGGTAGTTGAGATTTTAGTAGGTGTTCTGTAAAAATCCAGGAAGGATGCAGTTCTTTGTATTTTAAGTCAGTGTGAGTTGAGCCCTTCTTGTTTCTTTAGGTCTTAAAAAGGCTTCTAAGAGATTCTTACCTTGCTGTTACAATTAAACCTTAAAAAATTMGTCTGTGGTGTCAGTCTCTGGATCACATGGTGCTGACAATATTGAGAATTACCACTTGTGGGTATCCTAATTTTTCTTTAAATATGGAAACAGAAGTCTAGTTACTAAGCACGCCTCTGGTTATGTCTCACTCTGTGCAAGTCAGCACGTATCTCCAGTCTTTATTTCCACCTTTTTCATGGCTCCTTTGTATAATTTGAGTAGTATATGAAGAGTTCTCAGAATTCAGAGGGCTCAGGTTTCAAACCCACTGTTTTTTTTTTAAATTAATGAGTATAATTTAGTGGGCTAAACTGATGAAATGTATATATGAGGCTTATGAAGGAAGTAGTATGTACACTTTTTAGCAGTGTAGAACTGCTAAAAATAGTATGATTCAGTGAAAGCAGCACTGGAGTTTGGTTTCCTTGGCTTTCATTCATGATGACTTTCACACACTTGGATTCCCTAACGCCTTGCTTTTGGGCAAGGAGAAGCCCTGCCCATATCTCATTTACCTTGTTACTTTAAAAAAAATGTGTCAAGAGTTAATTTTAACAATTTTTTAAAAATTTTGTTATGGGTTGTGTAGTAAGTGTTGAAAAACCAGTCAACAGGCTTTAGTTATTTAGAACTTAGTCAGATAATGTATTCTTCTAACCTCTGCTTAATGAAGATGAATGTGAGCCCTATGTTATGGTGAAATGGACTGTTTCAGTTGGTGCAGAACTTCATGTGCTTGTATGCAGAACATGTGAATTGGGTAACTTGCATTGTCAAATATTCTACAGCTGTATAGATTTGTATTGTACATAGGAAGAGCATGTTCTTCGAGCACCTGCTCATATTGAGCCTATGGACAAGTGTAGATACTTGTTCATTGTAAGCTATCAAGATCATACACATCTTGCTCTAACAGTACCTCTTTATTTTAGTTGCTGTCCCCTGCTAAAGTGTACTGTGTGGTCCTCAGTTCCTCTTGCATGGCCTTGGCAAGATGAAGTGCCTCTGTTGTCTCCAGTTTGCTGTGGAATTGTGGGTTATCAGCTATCCTGAGCAGGTGGCCTTACTTCTATCTGTAGACGGCTGTTTCCTTCATGTGTTAATCTTTGTCATCTTGGCCGTTTCCTGTGGGCTCTGTGGAATTAATTCTCATTTGAATGTGAGTTGGAGATAGTTTATAAAACAACAAAAGAAACCCAAAAATTAGGGGAAGCCTTATTTTCCCCAGATTGTATTTACCCATCTGAAGGGAACTTTCAGAAAAGCTTTCTGACTCAGAAGCACCTTTTTGATCTGTTCTGGACTTTGAAAGGTATTTACCCAGCACTATGTGTTCCATCTGCCAAGGATACAATTCTCCAAGCATCCCAGTTGCCTCTGCTAGCATTTCCACTGGCAACAGTTAGTGGGTCTGACTGCTATTGATTGTGTTTGTTTGCATTATGTTTAAACTACAGTCTTCACCATTGTCTTTGTCTCAGACTATGCGCTGTGGTTGTTATAGTGAAAATACCATTCTGGAACTAGCTGATATCTTTTTATACTGCTCAGAGCCTAACCCCTTGATAATAATGAAGCTAGTTTAATGATACCAGTTTTTTTTTAATAATTATATGCCAATGTGGAACCTGATTTCCCACCATCATTGTCTTTGGCCCTAAAGTATTCTGTGGCCACGGAGACTTCTGTGGCTGTTAGGTTCCTGAAGCTACAGAATATTTTGGAAGAAAATAGAATGATTAAATCATAGACACAAATATTAAATTGAAGAAAACCAGTAAGAGCCAGGTATAGGATTAATGCTGACAAAACACTGCTGGTCTTACATGTAGCCATCACTGATCTATGACCTATTTTAAATCCAAATGGTGACTGTATCTGTGATTCATGTTTTAGCTTTGGTCTTCCAGTKCACTTCAAAATGTGTTATATTTTACAGAATGCTGGCAGGAAAAAAGGAAGTAATTGAATAGTTGCATTTTGAAGGTGTGACTGCCAGGATACTTTCCTTTTGTCCAGTCAGAGCTGTTTTACACCTCTGTAACTCTTGATCTCTTTTATGCCAAATTTCCTTGCAGCTGTTTGGGAGTGGTCCTTTTAAAACAAAGACTGCTAAGTATTTGCTCTGAGTATTTGCTGGAACAGCTCTTGCTGGTCACTGTTAGTGGGGGCTTTACTCAGATGTGGCTCTCAGGTTTTTTTGTTCCTCAGTTTTCACTTCTCTTTTTGTAGCAGATAGCTTGGAATAACTTACTCTTCTCTGTCACGATCTCCTAACACAAATGGGAATCTTGATGGTTCATTAACTGAATCTCAGAGTGCAAAAGAAACAGGGACAAATATTTTTTTTGTTTCAATCAAAATCAAAAATACTTTTATTGAGAGCTCAGAACACACTTTATGTAATAGAATGTCATGTCGCTGTTGGCCAGACAGCAACAGGAAATAACAGACACAAAGACACACATATACACACAGAAAGAGGAAGTACTTTATTGTGGGACAAGCCTCTTTTATCCACTTTAGCAATTAGTGTATACAGTTGTATCAAACACACATTGGTTAAGAGGCAGGTGTTTAATTACTCATCAGTATATGATTGGTGGTTTGCAAAAGCTGCAGTAYTGGTAATGTTTATAGTTGTTGGCCACCTGCGTTGTTGGTTCTACATTCCAATCTTCCTTTCCCAGAGATAGCCAAGGATGTGGTATTCCTSCTYCATGMAGGCTGTTAACATTCCCTTTAGTTTCTCAGGACTCAGTCATAAATAATAATT